TCTTTATTACTGATATAGTGTATAAAACTGTTGTGTTTTAGACATGCAGGACGAAGTATGTGTGATAATAATGGTAGCAGTAGCCTTTGTACAGTTGTTTTGGGTGAATTCTGAAATTAATTAACGATATACTAGGAAACACACTTTACCCTTATGGTCATCAACAACCTGGACACTGATGAGTGACAACCCTTCCGGCTGACAAGGGCGTATACAGGGACTGAAGGAGCTTGGGTGCGGCCATGATGCAGTCACTTGCTACAATGACACCCGGAAAGATTGGTGACATTCATTACAATCTCTTCCATTGATCATTTACTTAAGTCATTGGTAATGTAACTCAGAGACACCGTACACATCTTGACACACTTGATTTAAGGTCTCCAACAACCTTCGTTCCACTTCCTGTTCCGAGATAAGGCAGTGATAGTGGTTGGCACTTGATACCTGGCGGAAATAGTATACGATCACTATGTGGTACGCTGCAGGTCTTGTTCTGTTTCTGAGGTAATATAATAAGCTGTGTCCTAGGTGAACCTATTCCTTTCAATATACTAACCCAACCCAACCCAACCCAACCCAACAAAAAATAACCTAACGCTAACCTAACCTCACATATCAATACATCCCCCTCCTCCAGGCCGCGTTGGGTAAAATAAGCCGGAAGTAAAAGGAGAGAGAGGGGGGGGTGGCTACAAATGTTCATACGACCCTGTGAATGAAGTATTTGGAAACAGTGTTGAACAGGGAGGAACATGGCTGCCCTTAACAATACAGTAATACAAACCAGATGAACAAGTGGGGGTCCTGACAATATTCACGGGGGGAAGGACTTGTGTAAAGGACCACATAGGTGAGACCCGCGTGATGAATGAGAACAGATGAGGTCAGGTGTGGAGAGATGGTTTACAAAATATTGTGAAAAATCCTGAGAATTTACAGGAACAGGAATGAAACTTCCCTGATAGAGAGTTATTAAATTCCTATGGTGATGAAGGTGTTAGGTTAGAAGATAGAGGAGTTAGGTGAGTTCTGATAAAGACGTGACTCGATTAGATAGTTGAGTTAGCGTAGTGTTGTTATGTTAAAAGTTATGAGGCAGTTTATTGAGACATTTGTACTTGTTCCGGGGCCAAATTGTCTGGTGTTTAACTCTGTATCTGTTTGTACCGGAATACTTGATTTCAGTAGATACAGGATTCTTGTGAGGTGTGCCCCCCCCCCCTCACCAAATTGAGAGTGTGGGGGGGGGGATGGTTTAAGTGAGGTTGTGTGCATGCAAATGTCGCGAGACTGACGCTTCATTATTCCCTGGATGGTTTGTCGCTGGTGCTTACTGGTGATGCTGGTCAACTACTAAAGTCCCTTCGCCTCTTCCTCCTGAACCACGAACCTCGAGATTCAGATTCGTGAACGCGAAGCAGTAGACTGACACATTATTACATTATTCTGTCCATAAATGCTTCGGGTTCATGAGTCTGAATCTCGAGGTTCGTGGTTCACGGAGGGAAGGCGAATGTACTTTAGTGGTTGCGTTTAGACGAGGTCGAGACTATACTTCAACATGGGTACTGCCGCCCCCGTGTTGTGGCTCCTCTACTTCAACATGGGTACTGCCGCCCCCGTGTTGTGGCTCCTATACTTCAACATGGGTACTGCCGCCCCCGTGTTGTGGCTCCTCTACTTCAACATGGGTACTGCCGCCCCCGTGTTGTGGCTCCCTGCTCTTTAACATGGAGTACTGCCGCCCCATTGTGGCTCCTCTACTTCAACATGGGTACTGCCGCCCCGTGTTGTGTGGCTCCTACTTCAACATGGGTACTGCCGCCCCGTGTTGTGGCTCCTCTACTTCAACATGGTACTGCCGCCCCGTGTTGTGGCTCCTATACTTCAACATGGGTACCTGCGCCCCGTGTTGTGGCTCCTCTTCAACATGGGTACTGCCGCCCCGTGTTGTGACTCCCTCTCGCCAACATAGGTACTGCCGCCCCCGTGTTGTGGCTCCTCTTCAACATGGGTACTGCCGCCCCGTGTTGTGGCTCCTCTACTTCAAACATGGGTACTGCCGCCCCCGTGTTGTGAAACCCCCTCTTCAACATGGGTACTTTCTGCCGCCCCATTTGTGGCTCCTCTCTTCCTTGTGGAGTACCGCCCCGTGTTGTGGCTCCTCTTCAACATGGGTACTGCCGCCCCCGTGTTTGTGGCTCCTCTCTTCAACATGGGTACTGCCTTCCCCGTGTTGTGGCTCCTACTCGGGTGCCGCCCCCGTGTTGTGGCTCCTCTACTTCAACATGGGTACTGCCGCCCCCGTGTTGTGGCTCCTATACTTCAACATGGGTACTGCCGCCCCCGTGTTGTGGCTCCTCTACTTCAACATGGGTACTGCCGCCCCCGTGTTGTGGCTCCCCTCTTGAGTGTGGTGGCTAGGGGTGTCTCCGTCGATTATTGTGGTGCAATTTTAGCTGTGGTGTTGAGGCCATTAGTCGCTTCAATGGTGCGGTAATTATTTAGTGTGTGAAAGGGGACGGTGGAATGTTGCGTTATGATGGGCACTGTTGTAATGGTCAGAGGCGTGGATACCAGAAGGGGAGTTTGACGCCCGTCTCTTTATTGTCTTCCCTCTCTTGTGTCATCCTCCCCGTCTCTTTAAATTGTCTTCCCCGTCTTGTGTCATCCTCCCCGTCTTTATGTTTCTTCCCTCTCTTGTCCTCCCGTCTCCAACAGTCATGGCCGCCGTCTGGTAGCTTGTGTTTTGTTACTTTTGTGGGCAATAATTTTTTGATTTAACCTGCTGATTAGACACTCCAGCTTATTTCACCTGAAGATTAAACACCCCAGCTTATTTCACCTGAAGATTAGGCACCCCAGCTTATTTCACCTGAAGATTAGGCACCCCAGCTTATTTCACCTGAAGATTAGGCACCCCAGCTTATTTCACCTCTAATGCTAGCCTAACCTATTAAAAAACGTAACATATAACATCTAACGTAACCTACTGTAACTAACGCCTCCAAGTAGCGTTAGGGTGGTAATGGTTTATCTTCAGATGAAATAAGTTGGGGTGTCTTATCTTCAGTTGATCCCTCTTGATGGTAAAACGGGGTTAAAGTGCAACATGATGTCATCCTGTCTACAGTACGTATTGTTTTAGCTCTCAGTTTTGTGTGGAGAGAGAGAGAGAGAGAGAGAGAGAGAGAGAGAGAGAGAGAGAGAGAGTGAGAGAGAGAGAGTGTGTACAGGGTTGATGGTTGGTGGGAGACTTTGAGACTTCCAACTTTGAGAACAGCTTACGGCCGTGATGTAGTCTTCTTGTTATTAATTGTTACTCTTAAATCTTAACACCACTTGTGGTATAAATAGATTTAATTGTATCACTATCATTAATACACACGGACGTTGTCACTAGCAATTTTCGCGCCAAAACCCAGACTGTTTAGCCCGGATAAATGACTTGTCATCTGCCACAGCCGAGTGAGGTTGGTATATATAGTGCTGTGCTGGGAATACTTTCTGTAGAATTTTGGTGGTTTATGTAAATCTCGGTAAGTTTGGGGAGATTTACGGTGCTGGTGGTGTGAATGATGACGTATTAGTGGAAAGTTCCCCAGTGGCGGAGGGAGGACTCTCAAAGGTTCGTGTGGTGAATCCTCGTAACTTAAGTTGTCATAATACATGTACAGCAACTACATAACTTTAACTACAACACAGTTTTAACGCCCATACAAAAACATCATCAAATATATAGTGAAACATATATACCATAAGTGACCGCCCAGTTACCCTAGTCTTAGTGTAATTTTTATTATATTTCTTGTGCTTTATTTTAGTTCAATTAGTTTCATACTTTCTTACATATTCACTTATGGGGAATATGTATCGTGCCAACTTATCTATATATAGTACATGCTGAACTGTATACCTGCATTGTCTATATCCATGCTGAACCATTTGTAAATTTGTGTAACGATTTTACTGAATATATGCCCACCCACCTACCCACACGTCCACCCATCCATCCACCCATCCATCCACCCACCCATCCATCCATCCATCCATCCATCAACCCCACTCACCCACTCATCCATCCATCCATCCATCCATCAACCCAACCATCCATCCATCCATTAACCCATCCATTCATCCATCCATTCATCCATCCATCAACCCATCCATCAACCCCACTCACCCACTCATCCATCCATCCATCCCTCCATCAACCCAACCATCCATCCATCCATTAACCCATCCATTCATCCATCCATCATCCATCCATCAACCCAACCCAACCCCCACCACCCACTCATCCATCCATCCATCCATCCATCCATCCAATCCATCCATCCATCCATCCACCCATCCATCCATCCATCCATCCATCCATCCCATCCATCCATCCATCCACCGTCATCCATCCATCATCCCATCCATCCAATCCATCCATCCATCCATCCATCCATCCACCCATCCATCCATCCATCCATCCATCCATCCATCCATCCATCCCATCCATCCATCCATTCCCATCCCCATCCATCCATCCATCACATCCATCCATCCATCCATCCATCCATCCCATCCATCCATCCATATCATCCATCCATCCATCCATCAACCCACCCATCCATCCATCCATGAACCCAACCAATCCCATCCATCCATCCATCAACCCACCTCATCCATCCATCCATCATCCATCCATCCATCAACCCACCCATCCATCCATCCATGAACCCATCCACTATCCCAACCATCCATCCATTCATCCATCAACCCACCCATCCATCCATCCATGAACCCAACCACTATCCCATCCATTCATCCATCCATCCATCAACCCACTCATCCATCCATCCATTCATCCATCCATCCATCAACCCACCCATCCATCCATCCATCCACCCAACCACTATCCCAACCATCCATCCATTCATCCACCCATCAACCCACCCATCCATCCATCCGTAACAATAGACCAAAGTAGTACTTTTAGGGGCACCAGTATGGCGACTCTCTCACACCAGTTTTTACCGTGAGAATTTTATTTTGTTGTATTTTTTGACGAACTAAAAATTGTGGTCTTTTTTATTTTTATTTTTTTACATTTAATCAATATTTTAAAGTTATTATTTCTGTCTGTTTGTCTTTCTTTGTTTGTGTGTGTGTGTGTGTGTGTGTGTGTGTGTGTGTGTGTGTGTGTGTGTGTGTGTGTGTGTGTGTGTGTGTGTGTGTGTGTGTGTGTGTGTGTGTGTGTGTGTGGTCTCCTCTTCTCTCTCTCTCTCTCGTGTCAACATCTTCCACACACTAGACGTTTGTGATCCATTCCATGTCCAGACCACACATCCGGAAGTCAGGGTAGCTGGGTGGGAGGGAGGGAGAGAGGCCTTGGGAGGGAGGGAGGTGGGTGTGGGTTGGTGGGAGGGGGGGGGTGTGGGTGGGAAGGGGGAGAGGGTGTAGTAAGCTAGAGTTATGTATTTTTTTGATCAGTTCTTTTAATCTTGCAGTATCAATAGAGTTAGATTTTTCTCGTGTTATGATCCTATTAAAATATACCGTTGTCTCTGTTGGGTAGTGTTGTTATATCCAGATGTTGTTATACTCACCTGTTGTTATACCCAGCTGTTGTTATACCCACCTGTTGTTATAACCAGGTGTTGTTATAACCTGGTGTTGTCATGAATTACTCCCTTTAATTGTTGTTACATGTTAGTGTTGTATTTCTGTCACACACAAGACTTTTCTTTTCCTTCTTTTCCTTCCATTTTGATCTTACGTACAACTTCCTTTCCTTCCCATATTGATTTCCTGCTTCCATTCCATTGGCCTTAACCCATATACTTTCAATAAAATAAATAATATGTTCTTATTACCACCATGCTATTGTACTATTCCAGATGATACTAAATGTTACATAATACTTCCTTGAGATAAATATATAGTATATATCAGGTGCCTAAAAGAGAGCTCAGGTTCTCAACTGGCTCAGCCATATTAATAGTGTTATTATTATCCACTCTGTATCTGTGTTTTTAGGGCTAAATAAACTGTTTCAATTCAATTCAATTCCCCTTCCATATGATCCTCCTCCTTTTCAGTGTGGAGGGGTGGAGGGAGAGTCGCAGGCAGTGTGGAGGGGTGGAAGGAGGGGAGGCAGGCAGTGTGGAGGGGTGGAAGGGGGGTGACGGGCAGTGGAGGGGGTGGAAGGAGGGTGACGGGCAGTGTGGGAGGGGTGGAAGGAGGGTGACGGGCAGTGTGGAGGGGTGGGAAGGAGGGTGACGGGCAGTGTGGGTGGAAGGAGGGTGACGGGCAGTGTGGAGGGGTGGGGAGGTGTGGAGGGGTGGAAGGAGGGTGACGGGCAGTGTGGAGGGGTGGAAGGAGTGACGGGCAGTGTGGAGGGGTGGAAGGAGGGTGACGGGCAGTGTGGGAGGGGTGGAAGGAGGGTGACGGGCAGTGTGGGAGGGGTGGGAAGGAGGGTGGGGGCAGTGTGGAGGGGTGGGAAGGAGAGGGTGTGGGGAGGGGTGGAAGGGGTGGCAGGTGTGGGAGGGGTGAAGGGAGGGTGGCAGGCAGTGTGGGAGGGGTGGGAAGAGGGTGGCAAGCAGTGTGAGGGGTGGAAGGGGGGTGGGCAGGCAGTGGGAGGGGTGGGAAGGAGGGTGGCAGGCAGTGTGGGAGGGGTGAAGTGGAGGGTGGAAGGAAGGTGGCAGGCAGTGTGGAGGGGTGAAGGGAGGGTGACGGGCAGTGTGGGAGGGGTGGAAGGATGGTGTCAGTCAGTGTGTAGGGTGGAGGGGTGGATGGACAGAGGGTGGCAGGTAGTGTGGAGGGTTACAGGGAGGGTGGCAGGCAGTGTGCAGGGGTGAAGGGAGTGTGGCAGGCAGTGTGGAGGGGTGAAGGACAGAGGGTGGAGGGAGGACAGAGGGTGGAGGAGGACAGAGGGTGGAGGTAGTGCCTCAGCAGCACCACCCACCACCTGGTATGCTCCACGTGTTCATCGATTTCCCATACGTGGTGTGTAGCGTGTGTGTCTACCCGTGTACGTGTCTCCTCCTCATCGTCTCATTCACCCTCAGTTTTCCTTGGTAAGCTTTAATCCTTCCTTACCCCGAGGTGTAGAGCGTCTTCCTGCTGCTAATTAAGATATGTTATTTACGCCGGATAATTAGTGTCATCGTAATATCAACCAATTTGTCTGGTAATTCGTACACTTAAAAGTTAACTAGGAGAAAGTTGTGTTAATATGCCACATATGAATTACAATCTTATAAAGCACAGTTGTTGAGGTGTGTGTAGAGGCGGGGGGGTGACCAAGGAGGGTGATGGTAGTGTTCTTGTAGGATACACCTGTTTTTTAGTGAGTCAGAAACTTACAGGTGTGTTGTCTCTTGCAGGTGTGTACGAGGTTGGACCAGCGTCTACACGCCGCAGCGGTCAAGGGTGACGTGGAGGAGGCGGTGAAGGTTCTCGACACTGGCCGAGTACACGTCGACTGTTCTGACAGGGTGAGTGTTAGTGCAGAACTGTACGTCGACTGGTTCTTGCCGCCATCCCTCGTCAACTCTGCCACTACACAGTACAGTATACATACAGTGAGCACTTAATGCCCACTGTCTGCCAGAACACACTGACGCAGCTACAAATAATATATTTATACATCTTCCAAAACTGAAGCCCCAAAATAATGATGAGAGGTGCCACAACCTGTTCTTGGGTTGAGAACTGCATCAATACAACCTTATGCAGAGAACCACATAATTAGAACCATGAAATTACCCAAGTTTGAACATTTATAGACTTAAGGACTGTCTAGAACCAGAACTTTCTTGAACGGCATGAGAACAGCCTTGAATATTAGCTTTTTAAGTAGAACCTTATGTCTCAGCTGCAATGACTAGAACCTTATGTCTCGGCTGCAATGACTAGAACCTTATGTCTCGGCTGCAATGACTAGAACCTTATATCTCGGCTGCAATGACTAGAACCTTATGTCTCGGCTGCAATGACTAGAATCTTATGTCTCAGCTACAATGACCAGAACTGTGTATGTAGGAGCTCACGTGTAAATGTTGATGGTCAGAATCAGGATTATATTAAGGCTTGTATTTACCACCGCTCGTCCCATCTGTTGTAGAATTTACCTCCGGATGGTGAGACACTCCACTCGGTGTAAACGTCCAAAGGGTTTTTTTGTTATTGTTTTTTACGCCCACACAAAATCCGACAAACCACGAGGGATTTTCTCAGCTTCGCTCACGTGTACGTAAATCCTGATTGATTTAAGACACCCTCCCTTCCCCACCCCTCTCCTCCCTCCGCTTTCTCTCTCTAGTTCATTTCCTTCTCCATCTCTCCCCTCTTCTCCCTCCTCTGCTTTCTCTATGTCTCTCTCTCATATTCTTCTCCCTTTCTCCCCTTTTCCCCTTCTTTCTCTGCTGCCTGTGGTGATACGATTCTGGTCAAGTGGGCTCCAGTCTTAATAGGCACCTAATCTAACCTACCATTATAATTTGGCCCATTAAGTTTAAGGGACCCATCGGGATTGTACCCGAAGCCAGGTAGTTAAGGTATGGGCTTGCTGGGACTGGGGTCCCTGACCAGTTTCCAAGTAAAATTACCCACATACTTATTTTACGACGTTTCGACAAATTAGCTATTTTAGTGAAATTGAATTGTGGGGACAAATCTCTGTCTTACAGGTCTGGCAATTTGATGAGATTAATCATTATTAACACAATTCAGCCATTGTTTATAACTGGCTCTCCCGTGTGTCTTGTAGCCCCCTCGGCAGTGTGTGGTGGAAGACCTTGTCGTGTACTGGCTCTCCCGTGTGTCTTGTAGCCCCCTCGGCGGTGTGTGGTGGAAGACCTTGTCGTGTACACAGTCAAAAAAGTATCTTTTACAATTTTGTGTTTAATAATAACACAAGAGATGAAAGATTTTGACAACCCTACCGAGACAACAGGAGTCGCAGTGTTCATTTTGGAAGTCATCAGTCCCTCCGTAAAGATACTTCTTGGATTGTGTGTACAGTATCTTGAGGGAAGGAACCGCCGACCCTGCTTTGACTTGCAACTCATTTCTATCAGTGTCGGGTGTTCCATAGCTTGTGTACAAAATATAGACGGCTGAGTCATGGGGGTACATCTAATATGGTTTCTTTCAACGCCAGTACAATAAAATACATAATATTTCGTATCAGGCGTAACGTTGTACAGTTTAACATATAATACCCTCACCCCAGACTCAACACAATAGGGAATCTCCTATGACCTCACATCTCTGACCAAAATTGCGTTCATTTATGTGGGAGTTGTGGGCCGCCCGGTGTGCTGGTGGGACACTTCACCTCCTTGACATGCTACAGGACAAAACACAAACCATGAGGACTATAAACAATAATTACCTTACCAGAAAACTTCCAGCTCTACACATCCCAGGAACATCTCATCTCTTGTCCTGTTCACTAGATAGAGTACCTTCACAGTCTTTATTCTATGCCACCACCTGACACCCACTATCGACCTTTTCGACAAAATCAGGAAGGCCACTTGCCGTTTCTGTCAATACTCCAACTTGTTGAACGTCTGCTTGACAATACTCGTTTATTCCCTGAACTGACACTCTGTGGAACTCCTGTCACGGTGTTTATACTATATGATACAACACTTAATGAACACACCTGTAGTATCGTTCTCTGCGTTGTTTATTTATTAAGAATATATACCCGGGTGTGTAGTTAATATAGAATGAGAGTTGGACCCAGGTTGGTTGCTGCTGCCTTTGAAGAATGTATCTGTAATATTTTTATCAGGGGAAACCTTGACGATGTAATTACACGTCGTGACAGCTATACTTTGGTACCCAGAGATCCAACTGAGGCAAACTACTGTAGAAGCTGAACACACACACACACACAGGGTCAGCAGGGTTCACGAGACACTGAGCTTGACGCTGATGGGGACCTCCACTAACTGTCGCTGCTGCTGACTTGCCAAGAATCTCAAGATAAATGTTCTCTTAAACTCCGCCACTTTATTATTTTATTTTTGGTGCGATATTTACTGATGTGTTTGTTTTGATGCACTGGGGGGTGGAGGTAGGAAGGCGCTTTTATAACATACCACATGAATCAGTCATACCAGACCTACCCTACACCACCCTACCCTACCCTACTACCCTACCCAACCCTACTACCCTACCCAACCCAACCCGCATTTAATACTACAAACTGAGGTTATGGTGTTAGGTTAAGTTTGTGTAGGCCTATGTAGTCGTTTCTTGTGCTCTCTAATTATATAATGTTGTATCACAGCTCCCACACTTTATTTACATACTCTTCATTAATCAAACATATCAATAAGAATCATTCTAAAAACCAGAAGATATAAAGTGGCAGAAGTAAGCGGTTAATTTACGATATTATAATGGAGCAGTGAATCTCTGATGTAGCGAGATATTGCATTCACACGTGGACGAAACTAACATTGACAACTGAATTAACAAACACAAAAATAATACTGAGAGTGTGAGGTGTGGATGTGCCGCGGGGAGCTGGCAGATCACCCCTTGATGGTAGTACAATACGTTGTTCTGTTATTCTGTTGCAGCTTTACACTGGTGGCCGAGTCCTGGGGGAGGAAGAGGTTCGTGGTTTTGTTCAGAGTCGCGCCATTTTTGCTACTTATTTATCGTTTCACCACTTATCAGCTAACTGGGCGATTGGTGCGTTTGGTGTGTTCTTTTATTGCTTTGTTATGACCTGTATTGTCCGGTGTTAGTACAGGAGAAAACTGGAGTACCCGATGGAAACCTGCCATGTATGGTAGAGCCAGGACTCGAACCCAGGACATTAATATGAGATACGCGAGTTACTGCTGTACCTCCAATAATCGGTTACTTCAAGAATTAACACTATAAACTGGCAGCTCTCGTGTAGGTAAACTTGCCCAGATGTATCACTCGGTTGATTAGAACAGTCTCGTGTTCACCTGAAAATTAGGCACCCCAGCTGATTTCACCTGATGATTAAACACCCAAACATTACCTGGGGGTTAGGTTAGGTTAGATTCATTCAGTTTATGTTAGGTTAGTGTAAAATTATGTTAGGTTAGGGGTAGGTTAGCATCACATGTTAGGTTAGGTTAGGGTAGCGGTAGATTGTGTTATGTTAGCCACCATTTAATCATTGGGTGTAAGAAGCTAATCTTCAGGTCATCTATTTTGTTCAGGATTTTAAACATCTTTTTTTTATATAGTGACTGACAATTTGAGGATATGATTGATTTTGTATTAGCCTTCTTGTTCCTAATAGGTTAGGTTGGGTTGGGTCAGGTTAGGTAAGTGTAGATTGGGTTGGGTAAGGCTAGGTAAGTGTGGATTGGGTTGGGGTAAGTTTGGTATAGGTTGGGTTAGGTAAGGTTAAAGTGAGGGAGGGTAAGGTTAGGTTAGGTTGAGTTAGGATAGATGAGGTTAGGTAAAGACTAGGTTAGGCTAGGTTGAGTTAGATTTGGGTAGGTTAGATGAGGTTAGGTAAAGATTAGGTTATGTGAGGTTGGGTTAAATGAAGATTAGGGTAATGTTAGGTAAGGTAAGACAAAGGTTTAGGTTCCATCTTGTTTTGTTTGGTGAGTTTTCCGTCCCAGTCTACTAGGATAACCAAGTTTTGTCATATATCAGGAACACGACATTGTATACATTTCCCGTGATGTTATGTAAGTGTGGTCTTCCTGCAGTGTAGTACAGGTGGGGACGTACAATACAAGAGGACGTGTCGTGTTGTGGGAACATATTCTTGTGTCGTGTTGAAGGAAAATATTCTTGTTCTTGTGTACAGAAGAAGGATTGTGTTTACTTTTTCCACATGTTAACCTGCTCTGGCTGCCCGACGACGCTAGGGTCTGTTTACTTTTGTATAGACCCCAGGAAAATATTACCAGCCAAGGAATATGTGTTGGATTATTGCGCTCTACGTGAAGAGTCTTATACTGTGTTTATTTATATATTACAATTGAGTCTTAAAGTATTGTGTTTTCCTTCCTCTCTGGTCAATTCTGATGAGTTTTGTTGATTTCCAGTTCCATTTCGACTCCCTAGTGTGTATAGAGGATTACCAGTCACTTTAACAACCTTAGATTATGCTTCATGTACACCTGAAGCCTTAGTATATCTTTCTGCCGTCGATTGTGAATGGTGTATCTGCTTGGTCATCATTGTCTACCATCACCCTAGTAGAGTAAAATATCATCCTTACCTGTGTCTTTGTCATCCCAATACATTACCCTTATCTGTCTCTCCCATCATCCATCATAAAGTCATTCGACGGTGAGCATTATCTAAAATGTTAGTTTTATTTCAGGATGGGACGACACCCTTAATACTGACTGCTGCAAATGGCCACGTGGACCTGGTGAAGGAGCTACTAGAACAGGGAGCTGAACCCAATGCTACCAGACACGTGAGGATCTTGTGTTTCGTTGTGTAGGATTCCACACTACTCCTCCCAGACCTCGTAGTATCCCACACTACGTCTCCCAGACCTCGTAGGATCCCACACTACTTCTCCCAGACCTCGTAGTATCCCCCACTACTTCTCCCAAACCTCATTGGATCCCACACTACTTCTCTCAGACTTCGTAGGATCCCACACTACTCCTTCCAGACTTTGTAGGATCCCACACTACTCCTCCCAGACCTCGTAGGATCCCACACCACTCCTCCCACCCTTTCTATAATGTATGTTAAAGAAAACGTGCAATTATTAAAGCATAGACTAAGACATCTTGATAGCCCGCACCATTACCTGTTACCGCTGGGTGACATATTTTTTTTCATTTACCCCCGATGGGGCTAGTTTATTGGGCAACCCCTTACATCCTGTGCAAGGTGAAGTGCAAAAGCGTTTACAGCGCCCATCTGGGAAGCATGCTTAGTTCATGCTTGCCTTTATGACTCATGCATTAAGGGCGTAAAAGCCTGAAGGGTCATGGGTTTTGTCAGCAAGTTACATAAAGTGACAGAATGACGAGTGTGTGGGGGTAAAATTCCCGGTACAATTTATCTGTTTATTTCAAAGCGTGGCAGGCCTCTAATGATGGCAAGTGCCAGGCCTATCCCTAGGAGGAGGGATATCTGGTCAGGGAGGGAAGAGGCCTCATGATGGAAGTGTTGGTTTAACCCAAGTAGATAATATGGGTGATCACTTGTACACACGCACAATCACATATTGGCAACTTATCTGCCTGAGATGACCTCGCCTTCGCCCCTCGTATTTAATTAGACGTTATATCAGTTTCATTATCCATAACTAAATCGCCTTTGTTTATATTTTCATGATGAGACTTATGCCAGTGACCTGAGGATTAGTTATAATGACTTGAGTATTAGTTATAGTGACTTGAGTATTAGTTATAGTGACTTGAGTCTTAATTATAGTGACTTGAGTATTAGTTATAGTGACTTGAGTCTTAATTATAGTGACTTGAGTATTAGTTATAGTGACCTAAATATTAGTTATAGTGACTTCGGTATTAGACTTATAGTGACCTGAGTATTAATTATAGTGACTTGAGTATTAGCTATAGTGACCTGAATATTAGTTATAGTGACTTGGGTATTATTTATAGACTTGAGTATTAGTTATAGTGACCTGAGTATTAGTTATAGTGACTTGAGTATAAATTATAGTGACTTGAGTATTAGCTATAGTGACCTGAATATTAGTTATAGTGACTTGAATATTAGTTATAGTGACTTGGGTATTATTTATAGACTTGAGTATTAGTTATAGTGACCTGAGTATTAGTTATAGTGACTTGAATATAAATTATAGTGACTTGAGTATTAACTATAGTGACTTGAATATTAATTATAGTGACTTGAGTATTAGTTATAGTGACTTGAGTATTGATTATAGAGACTTGAGTATTAATTATAGTGACCTGCATATTAGTTATAGTTACTTGAGTATTAGTTATAGTGACTTGGGTATTAGTTATAGTGACTTGGGTATTAGTTATAGTGACTTGGGTATTAGTTATAGTGACTTGGGTATTAGTTATAGTGATTTGGGTATTAGTTATAGTGACTTGGGTATTAGTTATAGTGATTTGGGTATTAGTTATAGTGACTTGGGTATTAATTATAGTGACCTGGGTATTAGTTATAGTGACTTGAGTATTAGATTGTTATAGTGACTTCAGTGTTAGTTATAGTGACTTGAGTATTGGTTATAGTGACTTGAGTATTAGTTATAGTGACTTGGGTATTAGTTATAGTGACTTGGGTATTAGTTATAGTGACTTGAGTATTAGACTGTTATAGTGACTTCAGTATTAGTTATAGTGACTTGAGTATTGGTTATAGTGACTTGGGTATTGGTTATAGTGACTTGAGTATTGGTTATAGTGACTTGAGTATTAGTTATAGTGACTTGGGTATTAGTTATAGTGACATGGGCATTAGTTATAGTGACTTGGGTATTAGTTATAGTGACTTGGGAATTAGACTGTTATAGTGACTCGAGTATTAGTTATAGTGACTTGGGTATTAGACTGCTATAGTGACTTGGGTATTAGACTGCTATAGTGACTTGGGTATTGGTTATAGTGACTTGAGTATTGGTTATAGTGGCTTGAGTATTGGTTATAGTGACTTGAGTATTGGTTATAGTGACTTGATTATTAGTTATAGTGACTTGGGTATTGGCTTGAGTATTGGTTATAGTGACTTGAGTATTGGTTATAGTGAATTGAGTATTGGTTATAGTGACTTGAGTATTGGTTATAGTGACTTGTGTATTAGTTATAGTGACTTGGGTATTAGTTATAGTGACTTGGGTATTAGACTATTATAGTGACTTGAGTATTGGTTATAGTGACTTTAGTATTAGTTATAGTGACTTGGGTATTAGACTGTTATAGTGACTTGAGTATTGGTTATAGTGACTTGAGTATTGGTTATAGTGAATTGAGTATTGGTTATAGTGACTTGAGTATTGGTTATAGTGACTTGAGTATTGGTTATAGTGACTTGAGTATTGGTTATAGTGACTTGAGTATTAGTTATAGTGACTTGGGTATTAGACTGTTATAGTGACTTGAGTATTGGATATAGTGACTTGAGTATTGGTTATAGTGACTTGAGTATTGGTTATAGTGACTTGAGTATTGGTTATAGTGACTTGTGTATTAGTTATAGTGACTTGGGTATTAGACTGTTATAGTGACTTGAGTATTGGTTATAGTGACTTGAGTATTGGTTATAGTGACTTGGGTATTAGTTATAGTGACTTGGGTATTAGTTATAGTGACTTGGGTATTAGACTGTTATAGTGGCCTGAGTATTGGTTATAGTGACTTGAGAATTAGTTATAGTGACTTGAGTATTAGTTATAGTGACTTGGGTATTAGTTATAGTGACTTGAGTATTAGTTATAGTGACTTGGGTATTAGACTGTTATAGTGACTTGGGTATTAGTTATAGTGACTCAAGTATTAGTTATAGTGACTTGAGTATTAGTTATAGTGACTTGGGTATTAGACTGTTATAGTGACTTGGGTATTAGACTGTTATAGTGACATGAGTATTAGTTATAGTGACTTGAGTATTAGTTATAGTGACTTGGGAATTAGACTGTTATAGTGACTCGAGTATTAGTTATAGTGACTCGAGTATTAGTTATAGTGACTTGAGTATTAGTTACAGTGACGGGTATTACACTGTTATAGTGACTCGAGTATTAGTTATAGTGACCTGAGTATTAGTTACAGTGACTTGGGTATTAGACTGTTATAGTGACTCAAGTATTAGTTATAGTGACTTGGGTATTAGACTGTTATAGTGACTCGAGTATTAGTTATAGCGACTCGAGTATTAGTTATAGTGACTTGGGTATTAGACTGTTATAGTGACTCGAGTATTAGGTTTATGTTGGTCTCAGCTGTTGACGTAGTGTAGCTATAACCATGTATGATCATGTTAGGTGAAGGACAAGGAGGCAGCCGGCACCTGTTACCGTCACAGTAATGGCTTCCTCCAGAGACCTAAAGCTGTGCTACACTCATGCTAGGCCAACTGCTGACTAATGGTACTGCAGTGTGATGCTATGTCAGGTCCTCAGCAGGGTACAGTGTTCTCCATCTGCTGTGTGTGTGTGTGTGTGTGTGTGTGTTTTGTGAGTGAGTGTTTGTTGTGTGATTTGTGTGTATGTCTGTATGTGTGTTATTACTTCATTCTGATAACACCATGGAAATTTATGTATGTTTTGTATAATTGCATTAATTTCATTTAAGACATCCTACACTATCTTTACCAAAGTTTACCTTAATTAGGTTAAGTTAGGTCAGATATTCACTTAAAGTTTGTATTTAGTTTGTCAAAATGATTACTAGTTTATGTACATTACATTAATATTTACTGCATGTGGAGAGGGGTAGTGAGAGAGATGGTAACAAGGGGGTGGAAGAAGTGTTCAGTATATTTGGCGGGTGAGTCAGCTACTGTTTTATTATTATTATTATTATTATTATTATTATTATTATTATTATTATTATTATTATTATTATTATTATTATTATACTGTATTGATTGTGTGGAAGTTACAGTAGGTAAATGCTGCTACCCTCATATTATCATGTCTACTTCTTATTTGTGTTATTTTCAGTCCTCATATACTTTTCAGCCAAAATTCTTTTTTTTTGTTTACTTCGTCTACTGAAGTAACTTTTTACCACTTAACAAACATGCAGCAGCCCTGTTTGTGCATACTTTACTTTACTTTAATATAAATCACTATTGCAACACTCTGTTTAGCCTTTGTTTTGTTGTTTTTGTCCAATGTTATCAAAGACAGAAAGACCCTATCCCTAGTTGGTTACAACTTACAATTACCATTTGATGAGAACTCCTTCCTTCCACTCTGTCCACAGACTGGGACTGGTGCTCTGTTCTTCGCTGCCCAGGGTGGCTTTCTGGACATTGTAACATTGTTGCTGGACCAAGGATGCAAGATCAACCAGGCCTCAAAGGTAATGCCGTTCTCTCTTTATTGTGTCTTAGAACATCTGTACATTACACATTGTATGACTTGAGATATTGCACAGATAGTCAGTATCATTACAGAAACAATATCTACATTATTGCTGTAATGATACATTCATAGTGTCAGATAAGGTCATCTACAGTACACCAAAAAAGACATGGATTAATTTAGTTTGTACGATATCCAGTTCCTGTACTTCATGTCACAAATAAATAATTATATATTTCCCAAATTACACAAACTTTAGTACACTTTGGTGACGTTTTTCTTTTGATAAAAAGTAGAATCATCCTGTATTTAGAGTAAAATAAAATGAAGTACTGCACATAAAATTAAGCTTGAATAGTAAGAATAACTATACAGTGCATTCAGTTTATAGGAATTAATTTAGTGTCCCACGTGTCCAGGATGGAGGGACGGCTCTGATAGTGGCAGCACAGTGTGGCCACATGGATGTGGTAATAGAGCTGCTGCGGCGGGGAGCTGACCCTCACAGTGCTATGAAGGATAAAGCCACTGCTGTCTTTGTTGCTGCACAGAATGGTCATACGAGTGTTGTGCGGACACTGTTGGCTGCAGGTGCTAAGGTCAGTTCATATAAACAAATTAAAGAGGTAGAGAAGCAACAGGTATGTAAGGATATGTAATTAATCACTATTATTTATTTTCAGCTCATTACTTATCATCAACCAGTTTGTATCAACATTGCAAACACTTCATTATGTACGTTTATTTTGTATTGACTGTCATAGTTTTTTTGCAATTGAGAATTGAATGTAACTGGCATAATAGGAGAGTGTAGGAGGGGGCAAATGACCCCCTCCCCCCACCATCTTAATCTAATACAGTACGGCTTTGATCTCTTGTAGTGGTAAATTGATGAGTGAAAGTCATGACATTGCAGTGTCATGTCTAGGAACTTACCATCAGATTGTATAAATTTAATGCCTTTGAGATACAGTCCAGTAGTAGTGAATTTTAATAAACTTGTGAGTTGTTGAATTATGATATGAAAATTTATGTCACTGCAGCTCATGTGTTCATTGCTAAAGAAGTGAACTGTATAACACAACCGGTGATTTAAGGCCAACTTTTGACCATGGCTCGCTCTTGTACTCTTTGTATTACATTTACACTTAAATTAAACATATGGAGAGGTGAAAAGGATAAATTAAATTAAAAGTAAATTATGAAAAAGAAGATAAAGGTTATGTAGCCACCTTGTGTATCCAGTTGGAGATCCTACATAACTCCTGTGTTCACTAGGCTAATGTAAGGCGGATGGACGGTGCCAGCCCACTGTGGATTGCCTCGCAGATGGGTCACCAGGGTGTTGTGCGTCTTCTGCTGAGTCATGGTGTCAACCCCGACGTCACCAGACATGTGAGAAAAAAAGCTAGTGATGGTTATATATTTTAATGTTGTTGCTTTTTAATTAGATGTATGGCTTAAAGTTTCTTGTAGTATAAAAGCTGTTTCCTTGCCATGTATACTGTACTGTTGGTGTTATAACATCTCAGCATGGTTGTCTTATATTCTCATGAATGTGTTAGTATAGAACCCAATATTATAGTGATTGAAACAGGTGTAAGGTTTGTGAGTAATAAATCTAAGGAGACTATATGTACTGTACATGATACTACTCTACTGGGTGATGAAGAAGAAAAGTTATAAGTGATTTTGAATGTGTTTGGAAGAATAATGATGTGAAGAAAGTTGAATAAAAGTAAATTGAAGAAACTAAGGGAAACTTAGTGTTGTAGATACTTGTGAGTGAATGTGTCACCATGAGCAATAATTAGTTAGTATTACATCACAGAAGAACATTAAGAACGACAGTATTAAGTGGATTGAGAAATACAGAGACAGAGAGAACTCTATCAGAGGAGGCAGTGATGTGGATGCACAGTACATTCCAGGAGAATTATTGACCTGACATTATTACTGAATATGGGTGGGAAACATGACTCTGGGTGCAGGAGGAAAGAACATACTGTACAGTATTAGAAACAGGAGAAGTGGGTAAATAGTATAGAGAGAATATAAAATGCAGTGACAAGGAGTAGATGTGGAAGTGAAAGAAGTGTTCTGGGAGAGAGTGGATCACAGTCTGGTCTGCTCATGTGATGTGGCCGTGATAAAAAAATGGGAAGTGACAAGCTACAGCAGTAAAAAGTATATTATTAAGTGATGGATGATAGGCAGGAGAGGGAGATGCCAAGAAGGAGATGGAAGAGTAGGGTGAAGGGAGAAGGATGTACACTGTACAGTCATGAAGCACCGGTGTGTGTGAATGAGTGGATAATATGGTGTTGAGCAACTTGAGGGGGAAGGCTGTGCTGTTGGTGGGTTATGCTGGTGTATGTGAAGTATCAGTGGTAAACCACATTTATATTTGAAGTATGTAACAGGAAGAATACCAAGTAAGGTTGTGATCATGTCAGTATCTGAGATTTGATCATGTTTCTAAAGACAAAATTATTTCATGTCAATATGGTGGATACCTTTGTACAGTAGTTTAGTGTTTATTTATACCACTATGATGTTAAACAAACAAAGTATGTGTATTAAAGATATGGATTGTTCCTACAGGGCACAGTATGGATGTTGCCTTATTCTAGATTTTAGGTTAGGTTAGGTTAGGTTAGGTTAGGTTAGGTTAGGTTTTCATAGTTTAACACAACCTTCACATCAAATGGTTTCAAAGCAGATGTATATAATATTTTCAGATTCCATAAAACAGGGTGACAGAATACTTTTGATGGTGTTGTTGTGATAGGACATTCTCTCAGGTTGGTTAGTAGAGTTACACATACTTTAGGGATTTGTAAGGCGCATATATCTCTTGCTACTGTGTCCTGTGTTAAATCTCCAGCCCGGGACAGATGTGAGAAGGGTGTTACCTAGTGTGAAATGGAGGTGGCCCTGTAAAGAATGGATTGAGTTTGTGAAGTCCAATATCAAGGCTTGGAAAGGGTAAAGATAGGACCTAAACTGGCCCACCTCCTCTACATTCTTCGATCAGTTTAGGATATGAGAATGACTCACTGAATATATAACTGAGGAGGTTTGAAAGATGAAATAATTCACCAAAAGCTATTCTGAAAAGCCTGTTAAACTCAGAAACTACAAGCCAATAGTTCAAGCCAATATCAACATTACCACCACTACACTAGTACAGTTAACAACAACGAATTAACAAGTGAGGACAATGTAATCAGTAACATTTTCGTCCATCCCAGCCATATCCGGGACTTGACAAGCTCAGTCATTCTTTATATGCCAAAAAAAAATAACTTATTGACAATAGGTAAATAGATAGATGGGAAGAAACATATAAATTATACCATAGCCAGTTGGTATAATAGTTTTGGTTAGTTGGGGCACTTCATGAATATCTTCCCTGAGCAGTTTCTTTCTAAAGGATGTAAATGATATTGCCTGATGCAGTATACTGGACAATATGTCATTATAACAGTTTTATATTGTCAATTTAATCATAAAGTCACTTGATATTGCATCCAGCACCATTATAAACAGAAGGGGCTCAAGATAGACCCCCTGATGAACCCCCTACTGTCACCCGAAATTCCTCACTTTCCTCACCATTTACTCTCACAGAGGTTTTTGAGCTTTCATATAATGCCATAACCACTTGAACAATCCCCCAATATGCTCTTTAGTATGTTGCTAGAATTAAATAATATTTACCAGTTTTCAGAATACTTCACACACCTTAGGGGATTTTTTTACTCTACAGTAATCCCTCCACAAGTGAGAACATTTTAGATTCATATTTTTCAAAATTTGGGAGGATTCTGAATTTTTGTAGGTGGAATTCAGTAAATATTTCATTATAGCTTAAATTGAATAGACTACACTACTCCGAATATCGATGCAGTGTAAATACTGTACAGGTAAACCTTGACAAACAATGTCCCATTCACCGATATTTCACTTTAACGTTGGTCATGAATTAAGACCATCTTGTTTTATATGATAAAAAAATTCTCTTTAACGATATCCATTGGTTGGAATTGTTTTTGTCTCTTGTGCAAACTATGGGTTGAACATACTCAAATTAATCTCTGTCTTGCAAGGATTCCAGCAATGGAAATTATATTTTTCTATGTGAGGTCAATGACATTTTATAAGAAAACAATATTTAACCCTATGCACCAGCAAAGGGAACGCATCTCTCGCTACACTTGTCAGCCACAGCAGTATCTACCTGCTCATCGCCACACGGCCAACCCACGCACTACAGTCCACACTTGGTTCTTGTTGATCGCATCTGTCCGTCATTGCGTTGCTCCACGATTATCGTTTAGTATCGGTGGTGGTATGTACATTGTACTTATCTTTTACTTACTTTTATCCTCTTCACCACTGATCGGCTCGTTAGCCGCTTGGGCGGTCGGTCACGTCTCTGTTACTTTTCCTTTTCTTTTATCCTCTTCACCAAATGATCGGCTCGTTAGCCGCTTGGGCGATCGGTCACGTCTCTGTTACGTACTGTTGGCAAGTACTGGGAATGCACTTGCTCCTGAATGTACCTGAACCTGCTACAGTGTTGGTCAAGTCTTGTCTTGAAAGAGCTCACACTTGGTGCCGTCACAACACTTTCTGGTAGATTGTTCCAAGAGTTCACAACTCTCACTCCGAAAAAGTTTGCCCTCACAGTTTTCTGAACTTGCGGCTTCTTCAATCTTGAGCTGTGACCCCTTGTGGGGCGAGCGTCTGCCAGTTCCAAGTAAGGACACTCGACTGAGTAGTGCCCCTTGAGATGCTTATACACCTCAATTAGGTCACCCCTTGCCCGTCTGTAGTATAAGCTAGGCAAGTTCAGGTACTTCAATCTCTCAGGGTAACTGAGGTGCCGTAGTGCAGGCACCAGTCTGGTGGCCCTCCTTTGAACATTTTCAACCAACTGACAGTCTCTAGCATATCTCGGGGACCAGACGGGATGACAGTACTCCAGATGGGGAAGCACTTCCCTCTTGAAGATCGTTACGAGGGACGGACCGTCTAGATATCTGAACGACCTTCTTATAAGACCCAATAATTTATTTGCCTGATTTACCTTCTTCTTGCAATGGCCTGAGAACTTCACCTCATTGTCAACATTCACACCTAGGTCCTTCTCTCATTCAGTCTCAAATAGTGCAGTTTCTTCATCCTGTTGGGACATATGATATGCCTCCTTACCATTGGTATGCCCCAGGTGCATCCTCTTACACTTTGTGACATTGAATCTCAGCAGCCATTTCTTCGACCATTCTTGGAGCCCACAGAGGTACTTCTGCAGCTCTTCACAGTCCGCTTGGTTCTTGATTTCCCGAAATAACTTGGTGTCATCGGCAAACATTTGTATGGAGGAGTGTACAACGTCAGGCATGTCATTTATGAAACAAACAAACAACAGCGGGCCCAATACACTGCCCTGTGGTACCCCGCTTGTGACAGGTACTGATGATGATTTCGTGCCATTAGTCACCACACACTGCTTGCGGTCATGTACAAAGTCTTCTATCCACGCTAGGACATTTCCCCGAATTCCATACCCTTCCAGTTTGATTTTCAGCCTTTCGTGGGGTACACAGTTGAAACCCTGGCAAAATCTAAGTAAACCTTGTCGATATTACCACGGGGGTAGGTCCAAATATTCAATACTGTACCTTAGGCAATTGTGTTCAGCAGGAGCGCCCCAGCATAAAACCGTGTTGGCAATGCTTTACAAGGTTGTTTCGTAGTAGATGTTCCATCGCGGCATCTTTGATAATACTCTCAAGTACTTTACATATTATGCTGGTCAGGCTTACCGGTCTATAGTTGTTCGTGGAGTGACGATCACCCTTCTTGAAGATAGGAGTCACATAAGCCACTTTCCATTCACTGGGGACCTTTTGTTCATCCAGGCATTTACAAAACAGGATCTTCAGGGGCTCGGCAAGCTCGTTGCACAACTCTCCTAGCACTCTAGGATGCACCATGTTAGGGCCGGGACTCTTATGGACCTTTAGCTTTGACAATTTATTTCTAATACCCTCTTCTGTGAACACAATGTGGGTCAGTGCTGTGTCGAACCATCTGTTTTCAAACGCAGGAAGGTTACCGCATCCTCTCTTGTGAACACTGAGGAAAAGAGGCTGTTCAATGCCTCAGCTTTATCCTGGTCAGAATCTGCATAACTACCATCTTCAAGCCTCAGGTCTGATACTCCTACTCGCGTTTTTAATTTCGACTTTGCATTGCAGTAAAACGCCTTTGGGTTTGACTTGACCTCGCTTGCAACCAGCATCTGGAACTCCTTTTCGGCCCTTCTACATTCTATCTTTGCTTGGTGTCTGGCTCTTGCATACATTCTCCTGTCCTGCTCATCATTTGACCCAACCCACGTCTTGAATTTCTGGGTTTTCTTCTTAACCTTGTCGACTGCCGCATGGTTCATGTGTAAGGATCCCCTCGTATTTCTAGAGGCACTGGGTTGGGTGTTGGGTATATATTTATCGATCAAATGGGTCACTTTACTAGTTATGATATTCAGCGTAGTGTCTGCGTTCTTGTACCTTAATGAGTCAAGCCAGTGGATACCACTCATCTCTTCCCTCATCCCTTTGTAATTTCCCTTGTAATATTTGCACCTTGACCTGGCCTTATCTTGAACTAGGTAACAGTTAAATCTGAATGACAACACTGTATGGTGACTGGTGCCAACTGGGGCAAGGTGTTCCAGTTTGGCCACCATACCCTCCTCGTTTGTTATGATGAGGTCTAGTGGCTTGGCGTGTTTGCTCCCCTCTGTAATGTGTCGGGTCTCTAACATGTTGGAACAGAAAATTATCTCTCAGAGTTTCTACAAAAAGAGTAGCACGGTTATTCAAGTCATTTGGGGTGAACTCTTTTCTCCAGTCGATGTCGCCATAGTTAAAGTTCCCCATGATAAGGAGGTGGCTCATGTGTTTATTTTCCTTGTAGTGAGAGAACAGCACTAACATTCAGACTGAACTGTGTTATGGTGACAGTGAAGTGATATTTTCTGTTGTTCTGTGACTCTAAAGTGCTTTGCCTCTGTTTTCGTGAACATGTGATCTGTGTCTGCCGCTATCATTGTGCTGACGTTGTCATCGCATGTTTTTTGTTTCAGTTAAGTGCTTTCACTGTTATAGTGACTGTGAAGCAAGACATGGAGTACACTACAGGTTAATAATATTTTTGCTCTGTTCAATATTTGTGACTGAAGTGAGACAAACGGGTTAATAATACCTGTACAGTACAGTACTATATTTTTACTCTGTGTGGGAGTCAGTGACAGCTCCACTCCACCAACTAGAGTCCCCTTAGCCTCGAAGGGGACATGTGATGATGATCAGGCTTATTCTTCGTGATGTGGTGAATATTGTTTAATTGTTTTCTATTGATTTTATGAGTTAGGAATTTTTCTGTGGGTGATAAATGTGTGTTTGGGAACTGGCTGGGAACGTATCCCATTGTATCTCCATGTTATAATGATCCTGACCTACAATATTTCACTAAGCGATGGGTTTTTCAGAAACTTAACCCCCATCGTTTATTGAGGTTTACCTGTACTGGTGTGTATGTTTCATTCAAACAGCTAATTCAGTGTAAATGCACTAAATTAATCACTGGAAATATTTTGATAAATCACATGTATCACACAAAATGAAGGAGCAACACAGTAATATGTCTTATGTACAGTAATCCCGTGTTTTTGGGGGGAATTACGTTCCTGAAACCTCCGCGTAAAGCCAAAACCGCGAATACTCTTTTAGGAATCACTGTACCTGTGGCCACCAAACAGCTGAGGTAGGTCATGCACTTAACCACGCCATGCTCTCCTCTCACGGCCCAGTGGTCACACTGATCACTGATGCACTGTACCGGCATTTACTGACATCATTATTTGAAACTAATCATATATTACAGTATAATAATGGAAAAAACTTAAACTCAGTTACATGTACTATACCCGGTATACAAAATTTTTTTATTTATAAATAATTAAAAAAAAATATATTCAGCTGAGGTCGGCTACACCCGCATTGCCAGCCTCTCTCTGCTGTCCCGGCGTCTGCCCGCCCTCACGCAGTCACGCCAGCCAGCCAGTCCTCTTCCACCCACATTCCTCCACTTGAAGACTTGTATTCTGACAAAAGACACAAATGAATTGTCAGTCTTTACCACATCTCGAGCCATAGCTCATACCACCTCTGAGCTTGTCCAATAAAACTGTTTTTCCATTAAGGTCATCACTATTCTTGTTCTCTTGGTCACTTTAGAGTCTTTGCTAGTAATATATGCCTTTGATGAGGCTGGCTTACGTCCCGGAGCCATCACAGTAGCATTCACAGTACGGTAGGCACGTGTGGACTGAGGCTTCTTGGAGCAGTGGGTGTCTGAGGCGGGAAAGGGTGGCGTCTGTTTGCTGCACCGCACAGGGGAATATGCAGTATATATATAAATATATATATATATATATATATATATATATATATATATATATATATATATATATATATATATATATATATATATATATATATATATATATATATATATATATATATATATATATATATATATATATATATATATATATATATATATATTATATATATATATATATATATATATATATATATATATATATATATATATATATATATATATATATATATATATATATATATATATATATATATATATATATATATAAAAACAACTTGGCATGTACTACACACAGGGTTAGTACAGTACAAATTGAACTCTAAATGCACATTAATTGTATCAGAAAATGCATTACAAATGTTTATTTACGTATGATTAAAAGACACATAAAATGGTACAGTGTACAGGCAGCTTCCCCAGGTTATCAATTAAAGTAGGATCATTGTAAAACTAAAACCACAACAGTGTTGGTGTTGGTTATACAGTGATAACATGTGTATCTCTACCACTATATCATGGGTTCAAGTCCTACTTGTCCCGGATACACACAAGAATGGTGTTATCCGGTGTGACTCTACAAAACATCACAGTTTTCCTCCGGGTACTGTACTGCAGTTTCCATCTGTACTAACACTGGACAATAAATTTCCTAACAAAGTAATAAAGAACAGACCAACTACCTGAATGGGTAGTGAGCTAATAAGTTGTGAATTGATAAATTAAAATCTGTATGGAACCTCTCAAACAAAGGCGATACATTATAGGGGGAAGCTTGTGTGCTGAAGGCTCATTACACCCACACACAAGAGAGAAACATGGTCGTAAAATAGTGATGTTCAGACACTGAGGATTGCCTGCATATTGAGTGTTGTTTATCTATCATATAATAACTCCACTAAATTAAGTTGTAGTGTATTTAACAAATTGGAGAAATGTGTTGTTGTTGTTGTCCATAAGAGTGTTATTGTTGTTTTTATCATAGTGTACTGTATGTGTGTTACAGGATGGGGCTACACCACTGTTTAAAGCAGCTCACAAGGGTCATGTGGAGGTGGTACACGAGCTTCTTCCCTTCAAGCCTTGCCTTGGACTTCTTAAGGTATAGTAACTTGGTTCTCCTCAACATCACAGGGGCAGATCCAGGAATATCAAAAGGGGGGCTCCGAGAAGTTGTGGGTGGGGGAACATGGCGAGCACAGTGAGCCCACCCAGCTGGTGGTGTTTAGGAGGGAAGTGCTGCAAGGCCCCCCTTCCTCCCCCAGAATTTTTTTTTAAGTCTGACCAATATCATGGACATTTTGAGGCCATTTTGAAGCCATGTGCACTTGATATTAGGAGATATTCTGAGGTCAGTAGTAATTACTTTGTTATACACAAAATTGCCCGTTTATTAAAGAATTTTTTACAATACTTTGAAATTTTTTTAGTTCATCCTCTTTATGTGGTTGTTTATCATCATTCAATTACCTACACAAATTGTTTCATTTATGTATGATCTTGAGGTGATTTGTTAACATAGCAGCTCCTCCTGAGTAATACTGTATCATCACAGCACTACACATTACTCCTCTGTCTTGTGGTACTGTACTTTTTAGCTTCAAGTCTCCTCCATTTAGTGTAGGCAGTTGTGCTCCCCACTTGGGGTATGTAGCTGACCCCAAGTACAGTACACACACACAATTTTAGATCTTTGGATATATTTGTCACACCCCCGCAGCTGCATGTGCTTAAACTGTGTCTGCCGGGCAGGTTCCTATTGAAAAACTAGTACATTATATACTTTACTTTATACTCTTCGCCACTGATCGGCTTGTTAGCCACTTGAGCTGACGGTTACATCTCTGTGGTGAGTTCTATCAAGACCAGACTTGACCAACACTGGAGCAGGTTCAGTTACATTCAGAAGCCAGTGCATGCCCAGTACTTGCCAATAGTGCATAAGAGAGATGTTACCAACTGCCTAAGTGGCAAATGAGCTGATCAGCATGGAAGATAAAAGTAAAAAGTAAAAAAAGTATGCACTGTTGGCAAGTACTGGGCATGTTCTGGTTCCAGGATGTATCTGTACCTGTGCCAGTGTTGGTCTTGAATGAGCTCACACTTGGCGCTGTCATAATTCTCCCTGGCAGAATGTTCCAAGATTTCACAACGCTGACTTCAAAAAAGTTTGCCCTGACAATTTTTGAATTTATAGTTTCTTCAACCTTAAGTGGGGCGGGCATCTGCCAGTTCCAGGTATGGACACACGATTGAGTAATGTCCTCTGAAGTGTTTATAGAAGACTTCAGTTAGTTTGCCCCTTGCCCGTCTATAGTATAAGCTAGGCAATTGCAGGTTTTCTAATCTCTGGGTAACTGAGGTGCCATAGTGCAGGCACCAAGTCTGGTGGCCCTCCTTTGGACATTTTCAATCAACTGACAGTCTCTAGTATATCTCGGGGACCATACGGGGTGACAGTACTTCAGACGGGCAAGCACTTCACTTTTGAAGATGGTCTATCGAGGTATCTGAACGACCTTCCTATAAGACCTAGCCTAGTCACTTGATTCATCTTCTCACGATGGTCCAAAAACTTTAGTTCATTGACAACATACAGTACTGTACACAGCCAGGTCTTTTTCATATTTGGACAGCCAGGTCTTCTTCATATTTGGTCTTCGTAAATGCTGTTTCTTCATCCCGTTGTGATATGTGATACACCTCCTTACTGTTGGTACGACATTGGTGCATTTTATTAACCATTCCTTTAACCATGCCTGAAGCTGACAGAGTTCTTTCTGTAGCTCTTCACAGTTAGTTTGGTTCCTAATTTCCCTGAATAACTTTGCATCATCCACAAACATCTGTATGAAGGAGTGCATGTATAGTTTCTGGCATGTTGGTTATGAAACTAACAAATAAACAACAATGGGCCCGGTACATTGCCCTGTGGTTCCCTCCTTGTCACAGGTACACTTGACGATTTTGTGCCATTGATCACCACACTTACACTGCTTGCAGTCACAAAGAAAATCTCCAATCCATGCTATGACACTCCCCCGAATTCCGTGTGCTTCCAGTTTAATATTCATTCTTTCTTGGGGTACACTGTTGAAATTTTTTGCAAAGTTGAGATATATATACCGTAGTCAACATTGCCACAATGCTTCAGGATCTGGGTCCAAACATCCAGCACCTTGAGTACTTTAATCACACAGGAGCGTCCCAGCATAAAACTGTGCTCACATTCCTTTACTAAGTTGTTTTTTAGTAGATGTTCCTTCATGGTATCTCTCTAGTACTTTACACGCAATACTGGTCAAGCTCACCAGCCTATAAATATTTGTGGAGTGGCGATCTCCTTGTTTGAATACAGGACTCCCATAAGCCATTTTCCAGTCGCTGGGGATCTTTTGCTCATCCATGTACTTGCAAAACAGGATCTTAAGGGGCTTAGCAATCTCGTTGCACACCTCTCTTAGTACTCTGGGATGCACCATGTCAGGACCCGGGCTCTTATGAACTTTTAGTTTTGACAAATTGTTTCAATACTGTACTCTCTTCTGAGAACATAATGTGCATTGGTGCTGTGTCAAAACGTCTTCCCTGAAATGCAGGAAGATTGTTCGCATCCTCTCTTGTCAGGGCCCGGGCTCTTATGAACTTTTAGCTTTGACAATTCGTTTCAATACTGTACTTTCTTCTGAGAACATAATGTGCATTGGTGCTGTGTCAAACCGTCTTCCCTGAAATGCAGGAAGATTGTTCGCCCCCTCTCTTGTGAACATTGAGGAAAAAAGTTTGTTTAACAACTCTGTTTTTGTCCTGATCTGAGTCTGTATAACTACCAACCTCAAGCCTCAGATCTGATACCCCCACACGTGTCTTTAATTTAAACTTTGCGAAACGGTAGAAAGCCTTTGGGTTTAACTAGACCCACCCACTTTTACACTTCAGTGTAGTGCAGGTGGCTGCATGTCCTACTTGGGGTACATTACTGACTTGGGGACAGGTACACGCACATACAGTATGTTGATCTTTGGACCAGGACTTTAACTTTACTGTACAGTACATAAATTACTGTAGATTGGATTGTTTCATTTTATATGTACAGGTAGATGTTTTCCTACCTTGAAAAAAACATTCATTTTAGAGCTGTTTATGAATCATGTACCACCTCAGCCAGGTGCATTTGGTTCAGGTAACCCCAAACTAAGGTGACTGTATATGCCTGAAGATTAGTCTCCCCTTTTAGCATCCATCATCCTTAAAAGTAGATTGATTGCCAATATAAGAATCTGTTTTTAATTCTGATAATGAACTAACTGCACTTACAGTCTTTAGTTATAATGTCATCAACAAAGATTTAGCTGATTGAGGTGCAAGTAATAATTTTGGGAGGAAGTTGATGGAGAAGAAGAAAGGGAAAAATAATAGCCAAGGACCATATCCCTAAGGAACTGTTCTGGTAACCCTTACTCTACAGGAGACTTTACCTCTCACACTGATTAACTGGTGCCAGTAGGTAAGAAATTCTTCAGCTGATAGATTAATAGGTTCCAGGAAGTTGTCGGCTCCATTTGTTAATACTTCCACCTCTCGTTTTACGCTGGGGTTACGTTCTTGAAAACCACCGCTTAATTAAAAAATGCGTAAATTAAACATAATTTTCCCATTAGCATACCTGTAAATGTTACAGGTTACGGGAACCATCATATACCACACAGGGTACGAACAGTGTCTCACTTAAATCAAGCACGTGGCCAACCTCCGACACACTCTCTCCTCTCTGAAGGCGGGTGATCACATTTAATTTCACGTCCATTGCCATTGTTTTTCGTGCCTTTTTAGCTTTAGGCGCCCCAGAGGAGGCAGATGGACGTTTTCCAGACATGCTCAATGGGGAAAACAGCATTTAACACTAAAAAGGTACGTGATAAACATACAATGCAAATGAGAGCACAGAGAAAAAGTAGTGCTGGTGTGAACTGAGAAAGTTTGCTGGATGACCTCACAGTTGTTGTACAGAATACTTCATTATCGGCAAATTTAAACTGTCTTAAGCGTGTTATTTCAAAAATAGGTGCTGGTAAATTACCTTTTGGTATTAATTGAACAATCTCGTTATTCCAAAAACGCTTAACTGAAATGCGCATAAAATGCAAGTTACCTGTACAGTAAATACACAAATATTATACAGCATATACATTAAGTCCTCGCTTAATGGCGTGGTTACATTCCTAAAAACGCGACGTTACAAGAAACAACGTTAACCGGATAAATTTTCCCCATAAGAAATAGATAAAATACTGGAGTTACGTTCCCCAGTCTCCCTTTGCCCCATGAAATACATTACATATACAGAAAATCATTGCCATTTCTATAGAAAATAGTGCATACATATACAACCACAGGTACTTAGTTTGTATTGGTACTCAACGATGGGCGGAGGTGGTGGAGCGAGTGTGTGGTGGGTAGTGGAGCGAAGGAGGTGGATGGCAGGAGGGGAGGAGGGCGGGAGAGGAGGAGGAGGGTGGGAGTGGAGGAGGGCGGAAGAGGTGGAGGGTGGTGAGTCACCGAGACTCTGCGCCTATCTGAGAGAGCATAGCACAGCCAGATGAGAGAGGGTGATTCTCCATAAAAAGTAGTCCGTGATGACGCAAAACGATGTTGTACTGAGTTATCAGGATGTTCAGCGATTTTTTGGTATCTAAAGGTTAGCGAAGTAGTACTGAAACAATGCTAAGAGTGTCGACGTTATACGATGACTTACTGTACATGTATACAGTCAATACCCACACAGTATACAGTAATAAGGTTTATAGAAAATGCTAGCCTAATAATATTATCATAGCAGTAGAGTAAATTCTGTACATTAATATAACAAATTCATTGTAATATTCTTGTTCAATATTTCATGTATTTTCTACATTTGCAGAATGGAGAGTCTGCTTTGCATGCAGCGGCCTTATATGGCCATCTCCGGGTGCTGCGAGTGTTGGTACAAGCTGGTGCTGATCCAGGCCTTAAAAATGATCAAGGACTCACGCCAATTCAGATCGCTGCTCAGGCTCGTCACTATGAAGCCGTCCAGCTACTAAAGGAAGCTTTAACCAAGAGAAAAGAGATGGGTCAGGTGACGCCCAAGACTTCGCCTGGCCCACGCTCCCCACGCCTGGTGCAGAGCATGTCAGGCACTGTGGTCAGCTCAGGGGTCCAGAGCCAAAGTAGCAGCCGTGGTTCATCCAGGAACAGTTCCTTGGGTACAATAGTAGAAACTAGCCCAGTGTTGCCCCGCTCTGTTAGCTCACCAAGCAACTCCAAACCTGCCCAGTATGTGTCGTGTGAGCTGAGTAACATTGTAGATGGCGGGGCGCGTCCTAGAGCAACTCTGGCCACGGGATCCTGCACATCCGTTGGTGGACGGACCCCCTCCTCTTCCAACCCTTCACCTTCTCCGAGCATCTCCAGTGAACCCCCACAGTCAATGATCGCTGCACTGCAGAAGGCCCCTCGTCACTCCTCTCATGCAGACGTCAGCAGTGTTAAAAATATATTCCGCAGAACACTTGCTTCGTTTAGGCGCTCTAGTATAGTAAAAAGAAATGACAAGCCGCCTGAACCATGACGACCTTCCATGTGCTTTTGACTTCTCTTTTTTGTTTACTTGTTTGCTTTCCAAACTGTACGACATTTTCAGTACAAATGCCTAATAAGTCACTGGTGATACTAGGATAGGTTTACTAATACCCAGGTGTACTCCATGTGAAGTGAGTTAACAGGAGATTAATACAAGTTGGTGGAAGGAACGAGAAGTTTCAAAAGCCAAGTGGTAATTGTTCTGAAACATTAATAGTCTTGATATTGCTGAGTTGCCAACACACAGTCACCACATGGCAGGAGGAGGAAGGGTGGACAAACCCTTTGCATTCTAAGTTTCAGTAATATTTAGTATAGATACTTTATCATCAACTATGCAAGGTAAATCATATCACTAATCACTTTAAACTAGATGTTTTAGTCTGCCTGATTTCACCAGAACATTTTATAGTTTTGTTGGTTCTTTTAGCGTTCTTGCCAGTCCTCTGTGTGTAGGGGTGTTAGTGTGCCCTCCTCCGCAGCATTACATATTGTGGAGTGGGCAGCCTGGTGGATGTTCATACAGTAAGTAACACTCCAATTTAACACCTCGTGAGGATGAAGATCGTCAACTTGCTGCCTTTAAACTTATATGAATATTGTTTTTAACACTTTTATAGATGAAACTTGTTTGTCACTTATAAATGCTGAGTCTGTGTATGAACAGTAAATTATTTGTTGATGAGACTGATCCTGATGTGAGTAACTGACTGATGTGGGACTTAAGACATTACTTATGTTGTTTTTCTCACTCAGATAGATGGTACCTGTAGAGTATAGCCACCTACCTACTGTGACACTGGTAATGTTGACCTCCCTGTATCATTCACTCAGTACTGCAGGACATGTGAGTGGACAATGGGGGTGGTGACTCATTCACTATGGCTGAGGAGGAGGAGGTTTTAAGTGTAAGGTGGGTTATTGAAGCTTTTTTTATTCTGCCCAAGGACCTGAGATAACAACTCTAAAAAGGCAGACAGTTTAACCCAGTGTTCATGTAGCTTCCATTGGTGCTGTTGACAAGGAGTGTGTGAGTGTGTAGGTACATGAGCACTTATATTTGATGGTTATACAGGCATCATCTACTGGAGTGAGGACAGTCTCATTGTCAAGTTTCTGTCCCTTCCCAACCATAAAATGACTTTTTTTATTATTATTATTATATGAAAATGTGTGAGAGAGCACAATGTTGTAGATGTATTGTGATAAGCCAGGCGGTAATGTTATGGGTGATGTTTGAAGGATTATCTGAGGAGAGGAAGTACGGTATGTCTTGCAGAAAAGTTTAACTCAATGGTTCAGTTGGAATATGACAATAATCTTAAAAAAAAAAAAAAAAAAATTATACATGATGATAACTACTTTTGAACTTGTGGGTGGGTCTGTAAGGTACTGTACTTTACTAGGGAATATGTTCATCCTCAACTGTTTATTCATTGTGCATACGGGTTATCTGTGTCGAGATTATCCATGAAGTGGAATACTATATATGGGTGTAAATTTGTACTTAGAGATATAGGGGATGTACACACACACACACACACACACACACACACACACACACACACACACACACACTGAAACCAAAATGAAGTATAATTTTCTAACATGTCATTATTTTATATTGACTAACATACAGTATGGGAGTACTGTACAGTACTTGTATTTTTGTGCTTGTCAAAAATTTTAGTGAAGGTCAGTCTGCTAGTGGAAATATATATGTGCCGGGTAACTGATTACAGTATTTACTATACATACAAAAGACTGCTGTTATCCTTAGTACAGTACATTCATAAGAATATTTACTCGTGATCAGAAAAGTGAGAAATGAGTGATATGTTGTTCCCCCTGGAGGAGGCACATCTCCCATCTGCTGTGGTAATTACTGATACAGGTACCAGTGTCATCAGGTGCTCTCTCGTCTGGTGCATGGATCTGTAGACCATATGTTAGAAGGAAGAAATTCTATTGAGATCTCAAGTTATACTGTTAAGAGTATTAGAGAAGGTTATATTAGTTTGTGTCATTTGCTGTTATATATGACTTAGCACTGAAGCTTGCCATGGGAAGTAACATTACCTTTGGATGTATATTATGAGAACAAATTTGATCACAGTGTTAGGAGATCCTTATGATTTGATTCAGACAGTTAAACTATAAGAACAAGACATGTTATGTTTGTACACACTTGTTGGGCATATTTTCATCTATCTCTCTACCTGCTTATCCTCTTCAATCCTGATCAATTAACTAGCCAGTCAAGCAGTCCGTCTGTTTCTGTTATATACTGTTCGCAAATACTGGACATGTCTTGAATGTACCTGAACATGTGCTAATGTTAGTCAAGTCTGGTCTTAAAGGAACTCACAGATGATGCTATCACAATATTCCACAACTCTTGCTCACTGGAATAACATATATAGATCACTTAAATCTCACTACTGTACTTTTCACCACTAAGATTACCTGATGAGGGTCGTCAATCCCATCTGCTTATGTCTGTACTGACTTGAGGAGGGGAAGAGCCTAACTATTTATACTTGACATAAGCAGTATGAAGATCCTCATACCGGTAGTTGCCTTGGTTTTGGTGTAAGAAGAGTCAAAGGTTAAGTTCCCAGCTATTAGAGGCAAGAGTTGGTGTCTGTCTTGGGTACAGTGTAGTTAGTCATATATTGTGACTGAGTTGTGATGCATTACTTAACAGTCCTATAATTATCAAAAGGTTTGGGAACAAACAACGTATGTCTGAGGTTGTCTACAGTAACTTGTGGGAGATAATGTAAAATAAATTCCTAAATTAATTTTAATGACAACATGGTATGTTTTGATATACCTTAGCTTAAGAATGAAATACATTATTATAAGATTTTTCACTAATTTTCTTATTAATAGTTTTAAACAAAATTGTTGGAAATACCTTACAATTTTAAGGTGATTTTAGATGTACAGTGCAGAAGTGTACCAGCAAACATGGCAGGTGTTGTAAGGTTACTAGATAAGTCAACTATATTACCATGTTTCACTCAGCTCTCTGGTGGTGAGTGTGTTATTACTAAATCTTTTAACATAAGGTATTGTTATTACATAGAACAGAAGTTCTCATGCCATTATGAGAAGGTGAATCAAGCAACTAAGTTAGTAGGTCTTATAAGAAGGTCGTTCAGATATCTAAATGATCCGTCCCTCGTAACACTCTTCAAGAGTGAAGAGCTTCCCCGTCTGGAGTACTATCACCCTCTCAGGTTCCTGAGTTATGCTAGAGACTAAGTTGATCAAAAATCTCCAAAGGAGGGCCACCAGACTGGTGCCTGCACCAAGGCACCTCAGTTCCCCAGAAAGATTAGAAAACCTGCAACTTTCTAGCTTGTACTATAGATAGGAAAGGGATGACCTAATTGAAGTTTAAAAACATCTCAGAGGGAACTACTCAGTTGAGTATCTATACCTGGAGCTGGCAGACGCTCACCCCACAAGGGGTCACAGCTCAAGATTGAATAAGCCACAAGTTCAGAAAACTGTGAAGGCAAACTTTTTCGGAGTGATAATTATGAATTGTTGGAACAATCTGCCAGAGAGTGTTAAGAAGGTTGTTCAGATATCTCATGGTCTGTCCCTCTAAACGCTCTTCAAGAGTGAGGTGCTGACCCCATCTGGTTCCCAAGATATGCTAGGGACTGTCAGTTGATTGAAAATGTCCAAAGGAGGGCCACCAGACTGATGCATGCACCATGGCACCTCAGTTACCTAGAGAAATTAGAGCGCCTGCAACTGTCTACTTTATACTATAGACAGGCAAGGGGTGACCAAATTGAATTGTATAAACATCTCAAAGGGTTCTATCCATTTGAGTGCCCGTGCCTGGAGCTGGTGGACGCCTGCCCCACAAGGGGTTACAGCTCCAGATTGAAGAAGCCACAAGTACAGAAAACTGAGAAGGCAAACTTTTACGGAGTGAGAATTGGGAATTGTTGGAACAATCTGCCAGAAAGTGTTTTGATGGCACCGAGTGTGAGGTCTTTCAAAACTAGACTTGACCAGCACTGGTGCAGGTACAGATACATTCTGGAGCCAGTAGTACATGCCCAGTACTTGCATTTAGTGTGTAACAAAGATGTGAGTGACTGCCCAAGTAGCTAACGAACTGATTGGTGGCAAAGAGGATAAAAGTAAAAGTATATGTTACTGTACTCAGATTTTATGATGGTAATGTAATTTATAAACTAGACACAGTACAGTGCTTTGTTTATAACCCATGAAGTGCAGTGCATCTCTTTAAGTAATTTTTAATTCTTCTTGAAAACGAGCATCGATATTGATGCCTTTTTATTTTCAATTGCCTGCCATCATACATCACACTCAGAGGTTGGATTTTTATTATGTCATAGCCTGAATCAACCAATAAACAAGTAGATAGGACAAAATGTGCAAGATTTGGTTACATTTTTAGGCATCTACTTCAAATCACATATGCATGGGTAGAAGTGAGGGAGACATGATGTCTATTGGAACCATTGGATGACTTGAATTGTGAACTGTGAATAATTTTTTTTTATTGGTGAGAATCTTTGACATTCATTGTACAGTATTATGGTTTGTGATGATAATAATTGTGGTTCAGATATAAGTGAAGGTGACTGAAACATGGAGTGATGAAGGTGATGGATAGGTTGGGGAAAATGAGACAAATTGAGAGTGAAGGTATGAGACAGGTGTAACGACCCTCTGGGCATGAGTAATGACCCAGAAGATATATCCTGTGGGTAATTCTTCTACTTCTTGTACATAATGTTATTGGAGAGTACAGTACTCTCTTCATTACATGTACTATATCACTTATGGTTGGTGTAGTGTGGATGGTGAGTATAGTGCTATCCATGTATGCAGTCTGACATGCTTTCATTCAGCATGTTGTCACATAACTAATGATCACAAGTTTTTATTCTTATTTTGTGAGGCCTTTCTCGACTAAATTAAGTTATTATTTACCATAAAAATAACAGAAATACATAATATATAAATTCATAGAACTAAACAGCTCAAAAGTAGAAAGTGGCTTGGGCAAAAAGTTTAACACTGATTCTTTACACCATTTGTTTTCCATTACATAACTAATGTATGATACCAAACACTTGTGGAATAAGTTAGGAATAAACGAGATAAAAATACTTTTTGAGTACTTGTCAGAATGCGCTCAAAGCCCGCTGCACTTCATGTCAATATTTAAGAGGATGTAAACAATGAGTGTGGAAAATTCTTACTTATAGACTTTTCCTCTTGCTGTGTACACTTCCCTAGCAACATTCTCCCCTACTGTTTCCATTCTCTGTGAAGCTCTGCTACCATTGATTCATTCCATATAGAACTGGGAGAGGAATAAGAAATAAAAGGTGCCAGTAGATAGAGTAATCATATGAAAAAATATGGAGCTTCACTCAACATTGTGGGATTGAAAAGTTTCAAATGAAATATAAAATTGAGATTATTAGGTAAGTAATATTACATCCAACTGACCTCTGTAAATTGAAAGGCAATATTAGGTGTATGAGTGAGGAATTCTTATTTTATGTATACTTTATCGTGTAATTAAAAGTTAAGTGTAGGACTGAAATCATAATGTGGTGAAATAAACGTCATAGGAACACTTATGTCATAGGGTAATGTATGCGAAGTTGAACTGGCACAAGGTAATACAGTACAATACTCTCATACAAACTGGACCATTCACACACTCACCACATAAACAAATCAGGACTCAGTAAATAACTTATGAGAACTACAATATGAAAATAAATTGACATGGTAACAATGTGAGAGAACATCTAATACTGTACACGTATTTTGCAATGAAAACTCGCAATAAGTAACAGTACAGTACTAAGAATTTAAAATGATGAGAGCCAGTTTATAAGGACAGTAATGTACTTGGCAGTAAACATTATTTAGTACTTGGCTCATTTCCAGATGATGGTGTACTGTACATGAATGTTTCTGATGGCTTATGACGTGCACTTAGCGTGGACACTCAAGATGTACATGTGTTGACACTTGGTGGAGTGAAGGCATGGAGATGATGTTATTAATGATCACACCAGAAAGTTCATAGAATTTTCTTGTAAAATTCTTCTTGAGCTTTTTAGTTTTCAGTTAGTTAGAGTTAACCGTAGGCTTTATGTATTTATTTACCGAGTCTTATTATTGGAGCATAATTTGCAACAGCAGGTGGTGCCAGGTTGCCCATTCATCCATGTTCGGTGTTCAAACAGCAATGAAAAAGTCGTGATGTATACTGTATATCTTACATATATATTACAAAAAAATTCCTGCACATACCACTGTAGAGAGTCAGGTGTAAACAGTGGAAGCCAGTGCTGTTGTAGCTCGCTGGTCAGAGATCATCACTGATGAAGCACAGTTCACCCATGCCTTCATGTAACTATTAAGTAGCTTACAAATGCTTGAAATGATTAGTTGTTTTCAACATGTTTGGGGCATTTCTGAAAAGGAACTTAGGGTGCTTTTTAACCACAATTTGTGAAGATGACATTATGAATTTGATGCTGAAATTTACACAGCAAGAAATAAAATGTAGTAATTCAAGTGTTTATTATCCTGCTGTAAGTGTAGGAAATAACACATACTGTTAATAAGAAGTGAGACTGCAGGCAATCATGAGAAACTTAAAATCAGCAGCAGTGATTAACACAGCCTAAGAAATTACACCATAATTCACCTAATAGTCATGTATTTTGAAAAAGTAATATGTGCAAATTCATTTTTGTCACAACTTGATCTCAAGATATAAAGTGTGTCAGCAACACACAGTAGTAGAGTTTGCATTTATGTCAATAATTAGTTGAGAAATGTTATAACTAGTGCCACACTATTTGTGCAGTCTTTGGATATACAATATAGCAATTAATGAAATGTGTACTGTAGTTAACAAGTGTCTTGAGAATTATGCACGTGCCACTCTTACTGTAGAGTAGGCGAGTTGTATAATCACCTGGTGGCACCAATGATATCCCTCTTACCATGAGAGAGTTGTCTGTGGCTTATTTTTCATTAAGCATAATCTTTGTTTACATCAAGCATTAAATTTTCTGTACTACTGAGGCATTGTTGTAATAAGCTCTCACTTAAAAACCATTGTAAGCTGCTAAATCTTACATTATGCTGCTTGTGCACAAAGGTAACAATATAAGAGCATATGAATGTACAATTGCTTGAAAACACAAGACATATTCAACCTCCTTTTGCAAGGCTTTGCTGGAACAGTGTCCACTTAAGACAGTTACCAACATTTCTCAGTATGTATATCTCTCTTTGACCCATTGTTGGCTGCATATAGAAAATATTACACAATACCCACCCTGGACTTTAACCTTTTTATCCGAGAATGCCATCACGAGGTGCTACCACTACAACACCAGCCATTAAAACTTAAACCAAACTTATGGGGGCTGTAACACACTTGTCTCTCACTGCTCTGGTCCAGGAATCAAGTCCCACATAAATCAGATATGAATCATGCAAGAAGGTTGTTGTTCATTTTGATCTTAGCGATCATTGTAAGTTTTATCCAGGCACTCTGACATCCTCCTGTACTAACATAGTAATAGTCTAATCAACTAGTAATCTGATAAGAGGAGTAGGTGATGAAAAAAAAAGACAACCATTGCTCCTGCAGACAACATGTTTAGTGTACTGTATAATGTATAAGATTTTTAATGGTTATAGACTGTATTTGTACATTGAAACATGTGTATGAGGGTAATGGTCTCTGTCATCTTCAGTATGCTGGTGATGTAATACAGCCATATTGTCTTGGTCCAGTGTTCTAAGGCAGAGAGGTTACAACCCAAGACATGGTATTCTGTAGCACTAGATATACAGTATACTCATAAAATTGTCTACCCAATGAACTGGTATAAAAATGAAAGCATCAGTAGTGTTTGTTAAATTATTGTCTAAGATTGTGACACAGGTCAATAAATTGTCCTTAACAGTGACACCTCAGTAAGGGATCATCAGTGACCTGCAGGTTTTTTTTTTATCATTGTTTACATTTTATGTTAATTTGGATTTGGCTGTTGTGTCACTTGTGTATTATACAGTAATTATTGTATGCATCTGGTAATTTTCTTTTGATCTGTAAATTATGTGATAATGTCAAGTTATAGTTCTTCTGATGTTTATTACAATCCTTAAGAGTGTGATTAAACTCCCAGTAATATGAACATTAAATTAAAGTGATGAAGATGAGTTCACTCCTTCAAGAATGTTGGATCAGCAACAGTGTACTGTACGCACAGTAATGTTGAACACAGCTCCATGTCAAAATGGTCTTCAAGAACTTTGGAAGCCAATAAATTTTTATATAATGGCAGATACTTTTGAATTCTGTATTACTTATATGATGTTATTAATAACTCACATGCAGTACTGTATGTAATGTATTATATGCCACCTAGAACCAAAGTGAGAATTGCACAGCTTATGTGAATCAGTGTTGTGCTATCAGTCCATTCCATAATATGTTGTGCTGGCATTCATATCAAGTTCTGCCCTAAAGACAATAATAAAGAAAGTCATATCACACATTTAAAAGGTGACTTGTGTGGAGACGAGGACCGACAGCCTTTAATGATGAAATGTGACTCCTGGATCATTTTCTAGGTTGACTCAAATGCCTTTATTAATGTCGTCTCTTTGTCCAGCTCTCCATAACGTGCCCTTTCCTAACTACCAGTTTCCTAGTTAGTTTTTTCAGCCTCTAATACAGTACCACAGTCATTGCTTGTTTACCATGTACCAGAGTTGCTAAATAAACATCACTTTTGGATTATCTCGTTATTTTTATTGTCATCATTTCCTTTCATATTTATTCTAGAATGCAGTTAGTGAGGTAATGACATGAGGAGAAATTGTTATGTGAGAAAAATGTAGAAGAAGACTGACGAAGGCTTGAAGAGGATAAGCTTGATCTTTGAGAGATGAACTGGGTAAACACTGAGCAAATCAAGATGTGAAGGATTTTACAGTACAGAGGTTTCACTGTACTGACTGGTGCCACTAATTTGTTCGCTGCTGTGCTGATCAATGTTGTTTAAGTGGATGAATATCTGGAGCCACAAATGTGAAGTCTTCATCCAAAATACAAAGGTGACACGTGAGTAATTAAGTAAAAGTAAATTCATGGAATGTAATACTTCATACTTCATTTGTTGGTTCATTTTTCCTCTATGTTTGCACTTGAAGGAGAGAAGTCTGTTACAGTATTTCACCGTGTAATGTATTTTATTAATTTATTTTCTACACCAATGGTCTGCTCTCTAGCCAGCCAGACAGTTGGTCTGTTATGCTCCACTGATCAGTACCTGTACTGGGCATTTACAGGCTCTAGAATGTACCAAAACATGTGTCAGGCCTGGTCTTAAAAGAGTTCACACTCAGTGCTGTCACAACACTGGCAGGTTATTTCAAGAGTTCATAACTTCCTCCACAAAGGTTAGCTTTCATAGCTTCTGTACACGTAGCTTCTTTAACTTGAGGCTGTGACCTCTTGTGGGGCAGGTACCTGCTAGTTCCAGATATGAATATTTGACTGAGTAATTTCTTCTGGGGTGCTTATAAATTTCCATTAAATCACATCTTGCCCACCTATAATATGAGCTAGGCAACTGCCAGCATTCTGATCTCTCTGGGTTCCTAAGGTGCTGAAGTAAAGGCACAAGTCTGGTGGCCTGCCTTTGGACATTTTTAATCAACTGGCAGTCTTTAGTTATAATGTCATCAACCCTTACTCTACAGGAGACTTTACCTCTCACAGTGACTAACTGGTGTCAGTAAGTAAGAAATTCTTCAGCTGATTGACTAATAGGTTCCAGGAAGTTGTCGGCTCCATCTGTTAATACTTCCACCTCTCGTTTTACACTGGGGTTATGTTCTTGAAAACCACTGCTTAATTAAAAAATGCGTAAATTAAACATAATTTTCCCATTAGCATACCTGTAAATGTTACAGGTTACGGGAACCATCATATACCGCACAGGGTACGAACAGTGTCTCACTTAAACCAAGCACGTGGCCAACCTCCGACACACTCTCTCCTCTCTGAAGGCGGGTGATCACATAATTTCACATCCATTGCGATTGTTTTTCGTGTCTTTTTAGCTTTAGGTGCCCCAGAGGAGGCAGATGGACATTTTCCAGACATGCTCAATGGGGAAAACAGCATTTAACACTAAAAAGGTACGTGATAAATGTGGTGGGATGTAATCCGAGCCAAGGTTCTTCAAACTCCAGAGCACGAGCAGTAGATATATTCCATAAGTAGTACAAGACTTGGTAGGATAACCAACAGGTACAGAAGCAGGAGCAAGCACAAAGGACTCCGTGTCGTATCCAGGCCGAAGCCGATCTGAGGGAAGTTAGCTAGCTAGGCAGGGAGAGTTGCTAGACATTACTAGGACAATAAATGAGACCTTCTAGTTACTTGACTAGTGCGGTACAGACATGGTACTTCGGGACATAGTAGGTAGACATAGGCATTAGACATAAGCATAGATATCAGACATGCTATAATAATATATAGTAATACAGACATGTGAATAAATGGTACAATGAATGGTAACAGAGTCTTGCCGTCAGGCGTGTTCACATATCTTGGTATTTACATATCTATACATCTCCCCCCCCCCCTTTACGCTCGTAGTGCAATCTCGAGCGGCTACGGACTCTTTTTCCATGAGTCGGGGGGAGCGGCGAGGGACAATGGGAGGATCAACTGACGACCTTCGTTCCTGGTCTGGGCAAGGAGGCACAGGGGACGGGGAGGAAGGTTCGTCACTAGAGGATGGCACTGGGCGGAGATGGCGTCTGTTTCGCCACCATACACAACCACTGGGGAGGCGGACTTGGTACGAACGGGACTCGCCACGGCCCATGACGACCCCGACCTTGTCCCAGCGGTGTGACGTCGGGTCCTGGATTTGTACTTGCTGGCCGACAGTCAACCTGGGAAGGGGGCGGGCGTGGGCGTCATAGTGGCTTGTCACTTGGGCCATCCAGGCAGCCTCACGGCGGTCACACTCGTCCGCCTTGATCTGCCATTCATCTAAGAAGGACTGGGGGTGGGCAGGCACACAAGTACGAAGGGGGCGGCCATACAACACCTGGGCAGGAGAGCGTCCGGCAGGGGTAGGGGGTGTTACGGAGTTCCAGTAAGCCCCTGTCGAACTCCTCACAGTCCAGGTTCCCCGTCGGTGCTGTCTTGAGGATGAGGTATTTTACGGACTTTACCGCTGCCTCGGCGTGGCCATTCGCCTGTGGGTAATGAGGGGAGGTGACGATGTGGTGGACGCCCCAGCGTTCGGCGAAGCTCTTGAACTCGTGGATATTGAACGGGGGCCCACCGTCGGTTCGGAGGCGGAGAGGCACTCCGACTTCCCGGAAGAAGCAACAGAACATCCGGATGACCCTAGAAGAGGTGGTGTCCCGATCACAGGGAACCACCACGGGCCATCCAGAGAGCCTGTCGGCGACCACCAGGAAAGACTTTCCGGCCACATGAAAGAAGTCGGCGGACACGGACTCAAAGGGCCGCTTCGGGAGGTCATTGCACAGGTACGGCTCTTGTTGCTGGCTGGGCTGGAGTTGCTGGCAAGGCTCACAGGCCTCCACCGTGCTCTTAATATCGGCGTCAATACCAGGCCAGAAGATGGTCTGACGGGCTCTGCGCCTGGTGGCTTCAACACCACGGTGGCTGTCATGGAGGCGGGACAAGGTGCGCTGGCGTAGGGCAGCGGGAACGACGATCCTGGGGCCGTACAACACCAGCTCTCCGTCCGCATAGAGGCTATCCCTTAGCTTCCAGAAGGGGAGGGCGGAGGCGTGAATGTTGTAGCAGTTGGTGGGGAATCCAGCGGAGACGTAGTCGAGGAGTTGGACGTATGCCGGGTCTTGAGCGGCGGCGATGCGAAGCTCCTGGAGAGTACTATCGTCTTCGATGGAGGGCGTCGTCGTCGTCTTGTCAGCAAGAGAAGTGGCTGTGTGTGTCACTAAAGACCGAACGTGAGCCGCGGCCGTGGTACAGTCGACTTCATCTTCAGGTGTGGGGCGACTAACAGGGGCTCGGGAGAGGGCGTCTGGTATGCACAGAAGCTTACCGGCGCGCCACACAGCCGTAAAGACGTAGGGGGCGGTCTTCTCTTTGAGACGTTGGAGGCGGGGATTTTCAATGGTGTCCAACATGTAGTGATTGAGGATGGGTATGAGTGGGCGGTGGTCCATCATGAGGGTGAAATGCCCAAGGCCAAACAGGTAAAGGCGGCACTTGGCCATATAACCCAGGCGACTGCCAGCATCTCTAGTTCGATGGTGGCGTATCTGGTCTCCGTGTCGGTCAAAAACCTGGAGCCACACTGAACTAAGCGCAGTCTACCCTGGCCGTGATCTTGAAGGAGGGCATATCCGAGGCCGTATAGACGGGAGGCGTAGGTCTGGAGGACCACTGGTAAGGACGGGTCGAAGGGTGCCAAGGCTGGTGGTGACAGCAACGCCTTCTTAACATTCCTGAACGCTAGGTCGTGGTCAGGAGTCCAGAGGAAAGAGCGCTTGGGGCTCATGAGGGGGCGTAGAGGTTGGGCTGATGCGGCGATTTCAGGGGAGAAGTCGGCCAGCTGATTTACCAGGCCCATAAACGAGTGAAGGTTGGTCAGGTTCGCTGGAGTAGGGAAGTCCCTGATGGCCTTGACCTTCTCCTCATCAACTGAGATCCCCTCTGGCGAGATGTTGTAGCCGCAGTAGTTAACTTGGGAGGCGGCGACCACAAATTTATCTTTGTTCAGGGTGATACCATGGGCACGACATCTTGTGAGCATCAGATGAACTCGGTTCAAGTGGGCCGGGAGATCATCGTCGAAGAGCAGGATGTCATCTACGACCTTCACGCAGTTGGTGACACCCTGCAGAGCCATATCCCCACGGAGGCAGTACGCATCCCCCGTTGCTGCGAAGCCCATGGGTCCGCGGCAGTGTTGGAAGCGGCCGTGGGGCGTGATGAATGTAGTGAGGTGGCGATCTTCTTCCGCCAGGTCGACTTGCCAGTACCCATGTAGTGCATCCGCCGTGGTAAAGAATTTTGCAGACAGGGTGATGCTGCGGACTGCTTGAATGGGCGTAGGCGATGGATGGGCGGGACGGGAGACCTGCGAGTTGAGATGGGTGAGGTCCACTGTGATGCGAACACCTACAGGCTTGGGTGCCAAGACCATAGGGTGGCACCACTCGGAGGGCTCCTCACCGGCGCGTCTGATGATCCCCTGCTGCACCAGAGAATCGAGCTCCGCCTTCACCTTGTCCCGTAGGGCAAAGGGGATAGGTCTGGGTGTGTGGGTGGCGAAAGGCGTCGCGCCAGGCTTGAGGTAGATTCTCATCGGGGGGCCTGTCATCTTCTTGAGCGGCGTCTTCTGGAGGTCGGACTTGGAGACAAGGACGTCGCTGAACTGACGAAGAAAAAACTCCCGGGCGGCAGCAGGTGTGGTCATGGCTGAAACAGGTATCTCTGCACACCTGTTGAGGTGTGTCACGGCGAGGATGGGCTTTGGGAACTTGGATGAGACGATGGCCAAGTCCTGACAATGGCCACATGACAAGAGAGGGGTTTGGATGCCCTCATGGACGTGGACTGTAAGACCTTACAGGAGGGTGTAGGTCCAGCATGAGGGAGAGTAAGACCTTACAGGAGGGTGTAGGTCCAGCATGAGGGAGAGTAAGACCTTACTGGAGGGTGTAGGTCTAGCATCAGGGAGAGTAAGACCTTACAGGAGGGAGGGTGTAGGTCCA